GAGCCCTAAAAAAGTGAACTCCAGAAGGTGCTTCAGCTGCATAAACAGAACATATATTAACATATCCTCTGTATAGGGCATTAGGCAAGGGTATACTAATATACAGACTATGGACAAAAAGGAGTTAAATAAGGAAGGACTTCCAACACTTACACCTGATTATCATTCCATTCATTGAAACACAGACATTCATAGAGCTTCACATACTTTTGCCACATATAAATGTATAACTTTGAATTATTTTCCTCCATAAATACATCAACATGTATAATGTCCTAAACTCCTTTGGTTCATTGGGTTATCATTATCAAATTTTAGGACTTGAAAAACAGATACATTTTTAAGCCAAATTTATGTAGAAATATTCAAAATTCAAAAGGGTTCACAGACTTTAAAAGTTGACCTGAACTGGAATAGTCAAGATTTGCTATGTTATAGAGAACATTCAGAAATGTTAATTGTGCCCAAACAGTAGCCTGAAAAATTTCTGTCTTGTCATGAATTCCTTCTGGAACATAGAACTGTAGGCAGGTGCTTCCAGGTCTCTTTAAAGCACCACAGTATGTATTGATCCTACTGCACAAGGGGGGCACTATTTTCTGATAATAGTGAACTGTGAATTTTCACCAGAAGTCTAAAGAAAAATATGGGGAGCATTTTTTTCTTTAGACTCCCAGTGCCTTTTGTATCCAGAGAGGGAGCCCCCTGTCCTATCCGGTGAGAGCTGCATCCACTCATCCCTTAAGGGGAACTCTGGACACCCCAGGAATATTAACACCTAAGTCCCCGGATCCTACCATCCCTAGAGGGAGCCAGTTCCACCTCTTACAGCCCAGATGACTACTTGCTGATGCCTGGATATATACCTTGCACTTTTATTGTGCATGTCCGGTGAGTGCGCATTTCTCATATTAATATGAGATACCAGCACCGACTTGAAATTGCGGGACTATTACCATTGAATAGATCATATCTTTTTACCCTGTTATATTTATTTGTGTCATCTGGATATATTATATTGCTTTATTGATTTTGTTTCTAATCTAGACGTCTATTAGCGCTGTACTTTTTTATTTTACAAGGAAATAAGATTGTTGGTACGCTTCATTAATTGTATGGTCAACAGGCAGTGCATGTTCCAAGGATCCCAGATTTCATGTAAACTTGGTAAATTGTTAAAGGATAAGTTCACCTTCTGAACATGTTACCCATATATTTTGCCTTCCTCTGGATCAACTCTGGGTATAGGATTATAACTTTTTTTTTCTCTATGGTTGAACTGGATGGACTTTTGTCTTTTTTTCAGCCAGACTAACTATATTTAGGGTGCACTAAAAATCAAGCATTTGAAATATGTAAATGTTGTGTTTTTCCTTCACTTGCAATGTACCTTTAAGCTTGCTAGAAAACATGACTGGTCAATTTTCTAGCACAGCCCCTTCCTTCTTGCATCTCTTTGCCCTATCCTCTCCTGGGAGTGTCTAGAGCAGGGGTGGGCAACTCTGGCCCTCCAGCTGTTGGTGAACTACAAGTTCCATCATGCCTCTGCCTTTGGGAGTCATGCTTGTAACTGTCAGTTTTGCAATGCCTCATGGGACTTGTAGTTCTGCAACAGCTGGAGGGCCACAGTTGCCCACTCCTGGTCTAGAGTGTCTAATAAGCCTTTGTGTTGGCCAGGGTCCTCCGTCCATCTCTTCACCTCCCTCCATAGCATCTTATGTAGCTGCCAGCAGTAGTGCAGAGAGGAATGCTATAGGGTGTCACTTAAGCAACAGCTAAGAGTCTGCTTGGGCTACCGATATTTTAGTGGATTGTGACAGACAGTCCACGTTTTATTAGATGATCAGTAAAATGACAATTTTATAGTCTTGCTACTATCTGCTTCTTGCTCTTTAAATTCCTTACTCTCTTAAGTAAACAATCAGATATAGGTTGACAGAACAATGATGATAATTAAGATGGCGCCTTCATCCAGAGTCTCACCCTAGGTGACTCCATGGGAGAAAAGTATCTTTTAATGTAAACAACCCCCCATAAAAGGGAATGAGTCTTTTTGGGGACAATGATTGGAAGATATCAACACGGATGGAAGAACACGCAGAAATCCAGTGGACTTTTCACCCAATCAATGTATATGCTTTGCCTGCATCATAAGCCCTATAAATGATACTGTTAGTTCCTCAATAAAACAGAATTTTAGGAAGTTGGCAAACTGCAACAGTGTCAGTGTCTTGCTTCCACGTGCACGTAATTCTATATTAATTTGGCTCACTGGTAAATCACGGTAAATGGTCTGTAGGTGACCTAGTCCAAAACAATATCACATCCAAGATAGTGGGCCCAGCAGCAGTCTCAGGGCTTCTGGATATCTACACAAAGGAGGCTTTTACAGGCAAGCAACATACATAATTATGGAAAATGCACATATATATTCTTCTGGATAAGTCTGCTAACAGGGTTTCTTTAAGTGGGTATTTTATGAAAATCACCTTAGAAGATGCAAGGTCTAGTTGTGGATAAGATCTACGGTATGTTAGGCTCAGGCTGTGGAACTCTGAGAGGTGAGGGACTCTGCCTTAGGTATTGGCACCTGACTGGGAAACCACACACGCCACATTGGAGGAGGGATGTCTCAGTCTATGAATAGGCTACTGGAAGCAACAAGGAGGGCAGCCACGCAAAACTGACTTAGCAACTGTTGCCCTGTACACTAGAGTTATTTTCAGTGTGATTTGAAAGTTATAGGGACATGCCTTATACTTGTATTACTGTTTTGTGACTTGAGCTTATGTTATGGTTTTGCAAAAGACATGCAGGTAAAAATCCAAATAGTATTTTATTTATGTGGACCTTCCTGTATATTCCTGTCCTTAATGGCAAGGATGGGTGAATCTACTCGAGTCTGATTCTCTAAGGCTTCCGAAAATCCTATTTGAAATTCCGTGAACCCGAATACAGCAGCGGATCTCAATAAAGTCTGTAAGGGTGTGTAAAAAATGGAAACAGTGAAGGATACAAGCATAAGGATAGTAGCCAGGGGCGGACTGACCATTTGGAAACTCGGGCACTGCCCGAGGGCCCGGGGTCAGTAGGGGGACCCATAAGGTGCCCCTGGTACCTTTTTTTGTAGGCTTTTTTGAGTTTGGCCAAGGACACAGGGGCCCCATGATCCCCTATTGCCCAGGGGCCCCATGAGTTGTCAGTCCGCCCCTGATAGTAGCGGTATACTTTAACAATGACAGGGGTCTGACAGGACTGCCAGGGATGGTCCTGGGCAGCTTCGAGTAAATCTGTAATGAGGAATGCGGTCCTAAAGCACTCCTAAAATGGCTGTTTGGAGTCTTTGCCAGTGGCCTCCTCTGGCCACCTGTGTGAATTCCTCACAATAAAAGATTTATGTAAATAAACAGATACAGTTCAACTGATTAAAAATGTATATGCCTACATAAAACTGACCCAAATAATTATCGTGTCCATTTTATTGTAATCTTCCCTTTTGATGTTTCAGCCTAGGAAACTGCCAAGCAAATGATAGTAGTTACGTATTTGAAAAAAAGGACAGTTATTTTATAATACAATATACAGTAACTTTGACTGTAATCCCAAGGCACATTTCTCTAAGGAGAAACAAAATAGTTGCCAGGTATTCAGTTCCACAGGCCTGAGGCCTGCAATGCCTTGTGAAAGTGATGTATTTGCTGTAATCTCTTGAAAGGTTACCATAGCGATGGCTTATGTTCCCCAGCTGAAAAATAGTTTGGAGTAGCCCTCAGGTAGTTGTAGAACTCAGCATTCATCTCATTAATGGTTAAAAGAAATACTGTGAAAATGCCTGCTAGCGTGATTCAGTACTTACCATCATCAGTAAAGACCAGCGAAGTGGTTTCACAAATGGGGTTTCAGGAGTAAACATAATTAGGTAATTATTATGACTTTATGAAGCTATCACAGAGGAATGCTAAAAGTTAAACAAAATACACTACAAGCCATTGTGACTCATACATGTCCAGATGCACATTCTGTCTTTTTTACACGCAGCCAATTTGTTACCCTCATATTACTATATTACAATGCTTCATGCTGAACTTCAGGTAGATTTGAACAAAAAACATATTTTAAAACAGAACTCTGGCCTTACCTTCAGTCTTGCAGAGTTGTACAGGTTACTCTCCTTTACTGAAATTGCTTACTCTGATTTCACTACACACTGTGGCCATTTTGCATGGGGCTCCCCAGAGATGGCGGAACAAAAAGATACCCCCCATAGGGTAAGGCCCAGTCTGCGCTAACCAGTATACAGTCCCACTACTGAGGTCACATGCTACTATAAGTCCCTGAATCGCCACACAGACTCTTAGATATACACTATATTGCCAAAAGTATTGGGACACCTGCCTTTACACGCACATGAACTTTAATGACATCCCAGTCTTAGTCCGTAGGGTTCAATATTGAGTTGGCCCGCCCTTTGCAGCTATACCAGCTTCAACCCTTCTGAGAAGGCTGTCCACAAGGTTTAGGAGTGTATCTATGGGAATGTTTGACCATTCTTCCAGAAGAGCATTTGTGAGGTCAGGCACTAATGTCGGATGACAAGGACTGGCTCGCAGTCTCTGCTCTAATTCATTCCAAAGGTATTCTATCGGGTTGAGGTCAGTTAAGTTCTTCCACTTGCTCATCCATGTCTTTATGGACCTTGCTTTGTGCCCTGGTGCGCAGTCATGTAGGGATAGGAAGGGGCCATCCCCAAACTGTTACCACAAAGTTGGGAGAATGAAATTATCCAAAATGTCTTGGTATGCTGATGTCTTAAGAGATCCCTTCACTGGAACTAAGGGGCCTAGCCCAACCCGTGAAAAACAACCCCACACCATAATCCCCCCTCCACCAAACTTTACACTTGGCACAATGCAGTCAGGCAAGTACTGTTCTCCTGACAACTGCCAAAACCAAACATGTTCATCAGATTGCCAGAGATTCGAGAACACATCTCCACTGCTCTAGAGTCCAGTGGGGGCATGCTTTACACCAATGCTTTGTATTTCACTTGGTGATGTGAGACTTGAATGCAGCTGCTTGGCCATGGAAACCCATTCCATGATGCTCTGTATGCACTGTTGTTCTGCTAATCTGTAGGCCACATGAAGTTTGGAGATTTTTAGCTATTGACTCTGCAAACAGTTGGTAACGATGCTCTACAGCATGCACTGACCCCACTCTGCCATTTTACGTGGCCTACCACTTGGTGGTTGAGTTGCTGTTGTTCCCAGTTTCATCCACTTTGCTATAATACTACTAACAGTTGACCGTGGAATATTTAGTAACAAGGAAATTTCACGGATGGACTTATTGCACAGGTGGCAACCTATCATGGTACCATACTTGAATTCCCTGAGATACTGGTAGTGACCCATTCTTTCACAAATGTTTGTAGAAGCAGTCTGCATGCCTAGGTGCTTGATTTCATACACCTGTGGCCATGAAGGTGATTGGAACACCTGAATTCAATGATTTGGAGGGGGTGTCCCAATACTTTTGGCAATATACTGTATCTGAGTGCAGTCTGAACATTTATAATTTAATGGGCTACACTGTCCGGTGTCACCTGGTGGTGGATGCACGCTTTTTGCAACAGGAAGAAAGAGTGTTGGGATACTTCCAGCAATAGAAAAAAAAGCAACACAAGCTCTCAAGTCTGTGAGCATCCCAGGACCACAGTAACAGTCACTTGTTGAGGTGCAGCCCTCTAAAGATTGGGGAATCTTGATAATACTGGAAGAAAGCAAAGAAGGGGAGCACTCTCCTTGTGCATGCTGTGATAAAAAGGAATTTATTTAAAAATAACTAACGTATATACTCACAAACCAAGGTTCATAAAACAAGCTAGGAACCAATGTGACAGTCCAAGCAAACGGTAGTCTGGCGACAGGGTATGCTAAAGCGTTTCTGGAGACGTACTCCCTTCTTCAGAGTTAAATCAGGAGAGTGCGCCCCTTCTTTGCTTTCTTCTAGTACTTCCAGCAATATAGACCCTGGTACAAATTATTATGCAAATGATATTTTTCTCATTTACCGAAATAATTGATGTAAATACCTGTCAGCATAATTCTCATGTTATCAACTATTAAGAGTACAATTCAAATTTTATTGAACAAACCTCCTAATGATAACAGTATTTTCATTAAACATACAAAACTTACAATGCACTGTTCCAAATTATTGCATACAGTAAGTTTCAAAACACTTTATAGGTTGTAAAGAAATTAAAATTGTCATTTGTTGTGTTTGCAGCATTTTTACTGAAATCAAAAGCTATTTCAATCAAACTTTTAACAACATTTTAACTTTTTAAACATTTTAACAGGTCACGTTACATTGTAACATAGGACCCCTTATTTGTTAGCAGCTTCACAAGTCTTGCATCCATTGAACTTGTGAGTTTTTGGACAGTTTCTGCTTGAATTTGTTTGCCAGATGTCAGAATAGCCTCCCAGAGCTGCTGTTTGGATGTAAACTGCCTCCCACCCTCATAGATCTTTTGCTTGAGGATGCTCCAAAGGTTCTCAATAGGATTGAGGTCAGGGAGGATGAAGGCCACACCATGACTCTCACCTTTTATCCCCATAGCAGCCATTGATGCAGAGATATTCTTTGCAGCATGAGATGGTGCATTTGTCATGCATGAAGATGATTTTATTACGGAAAGCATAGTTCTTCCTTCTGTACCAGGGAAAAAAGTGGTCAGTCATAAACTCCACATACTTTGCAGAGGTCATCTTTACACCTTCGAACCCGTCTGTGCTCTGAATCAGCCACAAATCTCTTAATAGTGCGATGATCACGCTTAAGTTTTTGTGAAATATCTAATGTTTTCATACCTCGTCCAAGGCATTGAACTATTTCACTCTTTTCTGCAGCAGAGAGATCCTTTTTCTTCCCCATATTGCTTGAAAATGGTGCTCTGCTTAATAATGTGGAACACCCTCCTTTAGTAGTTTTTCCTTAAATTGGGCTCACCGGCCAATCTAATTATCACAGGTATCAGAGATTGTTTTCAGTGATCAAAAGAGCCCTGACACACAATGCCATCCATGAGTTACACTGAAAAACAAAATATTTAATCTTTGTGACACTTAAATAGAATTTGCATAATAATTTGGAACAGGGTGTAGTAATTGTGGATTGGACTATTTGTTTTCTCTTCACATGGTTTTGCACTTATATCACTTGTGATTTAATACTATATGTCACAGACTATTACAAATCTGCTTTTTTTCTGTGTATGGATTGTATGGCATATTGTATTTATTCTTTAACTGTGTATTTATTGATTTACAGTATTTTTTTTATGGATTTAGCGCTTCTTTATTAAAGTTTTTTATTTTCAGCTATTGGTATCACAATTGCATGGTGGCTGCTTTATCTTATTCTATTTAAACACTTCAGCACAGGTTCTTCATATTTTTCAATTCATAAAGACTGGCGAAGACAGATTTTGCGAACGTGTCTCCCATATGTTGTAAAAGTGGTGACGAATGTGCCAAATTCATGTACCTGTCTAGAACTTGTACTTGAATTTGGCTCATGCTGTACCACTTTTGGAATGCGCTCGAGACACTTTCTCAAAATCTGTCTGAGCCAGTTTTTCTCTCTGGATGCCAAAAGAGAGTTGTCTTAATTAGCTCCATTTTTACATTTGGCGCATTCGATGCGACACAATGTAAAAGTGGAGCATTTGATGCGACACGATGTAAAACTGGCATATTCAGTGTGACATTATGTAAAAGTGGTGCATTCAATGCAACCCAATGTAAAAGTGGCACATTTAAGAACTTTCTGAATCTGGTGCACAAGTCACTGTCAAAACTAAAAGTGTCACAAATGCTTCATGGATTTGGTGCAATACAATAACAAGAGGGATAAATGCCAGAAACGTGGCACAGAAGCTTTATTAAATTCACCCTATCCTCTTTACAGCAAGGGTAAAATACCTGATTTCCCCCCTAGCTCCACGGGGAGCAATCCATTCTCCCCCTGAGGGGGGATGGAGTACAATCTAGGACTGGCCAGACAACCTAGATCATGATGGGGATAGCTCCTCTGCTCATCTGCTCATTAACACATGTTTTGCTATACACATGTTTATTCCCTTGTGTGTGTATTGGGACAAAACAAAAAAAGGGAGGAAAGAAAGCAAATTCGACATAATGTCACACAAACCTCCAAAAATGGGCTGGACAAAAGTATTGGCACCCTTTCACAACTGCGGATAAATAAGAATGTTACAAGCATGTGATGCTCCTGTAAACTCACCTGGGGCAAGTAACAGGTGTGGGCAATATAGAAATCACACCTGAAAGCAGATAAAAAGGAGAGACGTTCACTTAACCTTTGCATTGTGTGTGTCTGTCTGTGCCACACTAAGCATGGACAACAGAAAGAGGAGACGAGAACTGTCTGAGGACCTGAGAACCAAAATTGTGGCAAAATATCAACAATCTCAAGGTTACAAGTCCATCTCCAGAGAACTAGATTTGCCTTTGTCCACAGTGCGCAACATTATCAAGAAGTTTGCAACCCATGGCACTGTAGCTAATCTCCCTGGTCGTGGACGGATGAGGAAAATTGATGAAAGATTGCAACGCAGAATAGTCCGGATGGTGGATAAGCAGCCCCAAACATGTTCCAAAGACATTCAAGCTGTCCTGCAGGCTCAGGGAGCATCAGTGTCAGCGCGAACTATCCGTCGACATTTAAATGAAATGAAACGCTATGGCAGGAGACCCAGGAGGACCCCACTGCTGACACAGAGACATAAAAAAGCAAGACTACAGTTTGCCAAAATGTACTTGAGTAAGCCAAAAGCCTTCTGGGAAAACGTCTTGTGGACAGATGAGACCAAGATAGAGCTTTTCGGTAAAGCACATCATTCTACTGTTTACCGAAAACGGAATGAGGCCTACAAAGAACAAAACACAGTACCTACGGTAAAATATGGTGGAGGTTCAATGATGTTTTGGGGTTGTTTTGCTGCCTCTGGCACTGGGTGCCTTGACTGTGTGCAAGGCATCATGAAATCTGAGGATTACCAAAGGATTTTGGGTCGCACTGTAGGGCCCAGTGTCAGAAAGCTGGGTTTGCGTCCAAGATCCTGGGTCTTCCAGCAGGACAATGACCCCAAACATACGTCAAAAAGCACTCAGAAATGGATGGCAAAGAAGCGCTGGAGAGTTCTGAAGTGGCCAGCAATGAGCCCAGATCTAAATCCCATTGAACACCTGTGGAGAGATCTTAAAATTGCTGTTGGGAAAAGGTGTCCTTCCAATAAGAGAGACCTGGAGCTGTTTGCAAAGGAAGAGTGGTCCAAAATTCCGGGTGAGAGGTGTCAGAAGCTTATTGATGGTTATAGGAAGCGACTGATTTCAGTTATGTTTTCCAAAGGGTGTGCAACCAAATATTAAGTTAAGGGTGCCAATACTTTTGTCCAGCCCATTTTTTGGGTTTTGTGTGACATTATGTCATATTTGCTTTTCTGCCTCTGTTTTATATTTGTTCCAATACATACAAAGGGAATAAACATGTGTATAGCAAAACATGTGTTAATGCAATACCTTTTTTTGTGTGAAATACTTGATTTTCAGGAAAAATATCAAGGGTGCCAACAATTTGGAAATTCAAAAATTTTAAAAAATTTCATTTTTTTCAAAACACATTTTTCATAGTAAAACATTGCTGTTTCAACCCATTTCACATACATATTGTCCCTAGTGCTTTGTCCTGTGCCCTGCCTGCATTTTGTCTGTTCTTTCTGTCTGGAAACTGAGAAACGTCCATGGCGTCCAAAAAGTTTCCCTTTAGGTCAAAAGCGGGTTTAGATCAGCTAGAGAACAGCGATAGTAAATCAGAACCACTTGCAGAATTTGAGTGATAATGATTTGTGGGAAAACATACATTCATCAGACACTGAAAACGATTTTGCGACTTTGCTCAGCAATGTACAAACTTGGCGCTATATTTCAAATTTCAGTGTTTTCGGTTTGATTATATTATTGAATTAAATGTATTATTATTATATTATTATTTTTTATGATTATTTATTAAATTATAATTTATGATTTAGTGTTTCAAATTTTATCATACCCAGGATGTTTAATAGACTCTTGTTCGGACAGATTTCAGTGAGTTATTCCTAAAAATTACAGCCTACAATAAAAAACTACATATTTCCATGCAAAATAATGGTACCGCTTTCAGCACCAAAAATCTGAAATAATCATACCGCCAGGGAGGTTAAAGGCCTTCAATGCCCCTACATAGTGAAAGATTTTATTTAAATATGTCATTAGCACATTGATGATGAGAGGCGGAAGAACCAGGGAAAGTAAGATTTATGCAGATTAAACGTTAGCTTTAATGTGGTTGTGTATTGCAATCAGTCTACTGTCAT